AGTTAAATTGCAAATAAATCACATGAATATATAACTTCAAACAAGTTACATGAAATTGCATCTTAAATGATTGTATAGTAAAAGTATTTATCAAATCCCAATTGTCCCCTTTGTACAAAAATGACTCTATCTAACTCCATTCCCTTCAGTGCTTTATATGTTCTTACCTCTAAAGAATCATCTCTGTAACCAGTTATTCCTTCATCCACAGACAATAAAATCAACTTCAATCCATAGTTGTATTCTTGGTTGAGCTTTTTAAGTATGTATGCCAACACTGTAGAATCTGCAGAAAACACAACAGTGCTTACATCAGTGGCAGATCCAGTTCTTTAGCCAAAGAGGACACATGGTTTTTTTGCGTGTGTACACCTGCTGGCTTTTCTTCTTTCTGCATTTTTTTAACCCAAAATAAGAGGGGGAGGCTGGGCCCTCTGCACCCCTGCCCTAGATCCACTACTGTACATCAAAATGTCTCGCTAACCCAGTTTGAGGTCCCTCCTGTAATTTACAAAGCACAGTGGCCATAAATACTGCTGAAAAAAACAAGGTTCCATAACTTAGAGTACAGACCAAGAAAGCGAGGTCAGTAAGATATTTATCATACATATATCTCTGGGTTCAAGAGAGGGGGAAAAAAGAAAAAAAAACCCTGACATGAAATTGCAATGTTGATTGTACTTACCTTTCCCACCTGATGCACCAATAGCAACAACTTGACCTTTTGAAAACAGTTTATTAGAAATTATTGTGTGGTGGACTTCTGTCTCGAATGTGACAAAGAAGCAATTCTTGCACAAAGCATCACCCTGTAACAGAATAACAAACCAACAGACTAAATTACCAACAACTCACTCTTCACTGTTATTATAAATATAATACTTGGCAGCAGGTGTTGGGACAAAGTGCATTAGTTTGTGATTGGGAGGTGTGATAGTCTCCCCAGTCTTGCGAGAAGGGTAGATTCAGAAATTCATTACAAAGATATTGAAAAGATTGTGGTGATAGCATTTTCTTTTCATAAATCAAGGTAATAACCTCAGCTGATCAGTATATCGATTCTTATTAGCTATTTAGATTATAATGGCACATTAATATGTGATTGTATATTAGGAAGGTGGGTTCAAACAGGGATTGAACAATTTTGCTTGTCATTTGTGCCGTGAAATATTTTTAATTAGTGCCAGTACATTGAAGCCTATTCTTCAAAACAATAAACTGACAACAATAGAAAAACAAAAGGCATACCTCATACATACTAATGAGGTCAAAGCTTATGCATGAACACTTGAAATTTTGATGCACACATTTTTTTTATGCGCACTTTCATGGGATTTTCTGCATGTTTTATAAGCATTTTTTGGTTAAGGTATGCACCAGCACTACTGTATATTGAAATAGTGTGGAGAAGTTACAAGTTGATCACTTCTGGGGATAAAACCCTGAAAAAAATCACCTTAAAATGGGAAGAGAAGAGGGAGTAAAACATATCCCTCTTCCCGGCCTAAATTTATCCAGTGTCTCATTTGATTTTTCTATAAGGTATGCACCAGCACTACTGTATGTTGAAATAGTGTGGAGAAGTTACAAGTTGATCACTTCTGGGGGTAAAAAGCTAAAAAAAAGCACCTTAAAATGGGAAGAGAAGAGGGAGTAAAACATATCCCTCTTCCTGGCCTAAATTTATCCAGTGTCTCATTTGATTTTTCTATAAGGTATGCACCAGCACTACTGTATATTGAAATAGTGTGGAGAAGTTACAAGTTGATCACTTCTGGGGTAAAACGCTAAAAAAAGCACCTTAAAATGGGAAGAGAAGAGGGAGTAAAACATATCCCTCTTCCCAGCCTAAATTTATACAGTGTCTCATTTGATTTTTCTATACTTGGGCTCTACCCTTCCAAGCAAATTTCCAGTTCCAGCATTCAACATAAAATTTAATGGCTTTTTGCTTTAAGTTAAAATGTTAACAATTCAAGGTAGAAAACAACTTGTGGAAACATAATCCTTAATTAGGAGTAACTTAGGTGTCATGGAGTAACCATCATGCACAACAGAACTAAGAAATTCGACCAGCATGAAAATCATCATTACATCTGACAACCTTCGTTACCGAAACCGGCCGGTTTGAAAAGTGGATAGCACATGACATGGTTTGATGCTACTCTGCTTTAAAGATTTAGTGAATGTAACCAAATTACAATTTGTTGACCCAACATTTCGACACCCTTGTCTAGTGCCTTCATCAGGGATGATCTGATCGATGCAACCAGAGGTCCTTTTATGTGCTCACTAATTAGCTGCCATTTTTTCTGAAAAGGTGTAAATAGGTGTCAGGTAGTAAGTGGAGTGTAGGCAGAGTTGATACGCTAAGCTTCCAAACAAAGGGGCTGATGGTAGCGGCAATTAATGATTATAATTTTAGAATCATCCCACCCAATTGTATGGTTAGTTAGGAATGTGCACTCCAACAAAGCGGAATTTTCTTTTTTGCAAAAGAAGACCGCTTTCTGATGCTCTTTCCAACGTGTACCAAACTGGCGTTTGGTCTGTCTGATATACTCGTGATCACAGTCATTGCACAGAACAGAATAGATAGCATTGGTACCTTGTTCTTTTGCAACAGGATCCTTCGGTTTGTCAAAAATATTCCCAAATGTCTATAAAGGTTTTTAAGCAACTATAACGTTGTGGCTATTCAAAATTCTCTTGATGGGCTCCATACGCGTATGTAACACCCTGGATGTAAGAAATAACAGCAAAACCAAGCGCCGGTTCCTTCTCATCAGGAGTGTTACTAATTGTAACTGGTTTCTTCAAGCAGTTACAGAGAAATGTTTCGGTGTAGTCATTTGCCTTAAAGATATTGGAAACATACTTTCTCTCCTCAACCTTGGAATCAAGTGAAGACGCAACAGTAGACAGTTATAGCTCTCCTAAGTGGATGTGTCCAAAACGAAGACCCAAAAACGAAGACCTAAGACCTAAGACCCACTGGTCTAAAATGAAGACCCTGTGGTCTAAAACGAAGACCCTGTGGTCTAAAACGAAGACCCTGTGGTCTAAAATGAAGACCCTGTGGTCTAAAACGAAGACCCTGTGGTCTAAAACAAAGACCCACTGGTCTGAAACGAAGACCCACTGGTCTAAAACGAAAACCCTGTGGTCTAAAATGAAGACCCTGTGGTCTAAAACGAGGACCCTGCGGTCTAAAACGAAGACCCTGTGGTCTAAAACAAAGACCCACTGGTCTAAAACGAAGATCCATTGTTCTAAAAACCTTTTTTTCAAGGAAAGGCTATACACTAAGCTAAAATGCTCTCATTTCTGTAGCGCATAAATTAAAATGTTA